TAGAAGCAGCCACTGGATTCAGGTGTTCAGCTGGCATCTCGCACAACAAGGTACATGCTTAACCCATCAGCCTGGTTCCTTCTGAGCCTCAAAGTCAGAATGTGTTGTTGATGCTCTCCTAGACACACTTAGAAATCTCCTATAGAAGATAAACCAAGTGGGGAATGCAGCCGTGTGTAAGCACACCTTCAGGGAAATTATGGGACATCTGGGAATGGGAGGAGGAGTTTTCCCAGAGATGTGGCCTGTGCATTCATTTACTGCCTGCATCCCTGGTGTACCCTAATAAGTGAGCTCACTAGGAACAAAAAGGTTTTAAGTATCCCCAGGAGTGTTTTCTGTAGAAAAACTATAAGCTTTAAGCAGGTAACTCCGCCATGAGTTTCAGGCAACAGTGACTGTAGCCAGAGAATGGGTTTTACTGACACAAAATCCCAGCACCTCAGAGGCAGTTTGGGGCACTGAGGTGAGTCAGGTTGCTTTTCCTCTTTCTGGTCAATCAATCTCTGCACCACTGGCTGTGCTTTGGGTGATGCTCAGGCAGCTGTTAGCAGCCACAGGAGCACTTGGTGCATGACCGCAGCTGCAGAAACCAACAACGGACTTTGATGCTGCAGCTACAGAGGGTTTCCTGCAGGGTGAAACACAGAGTGGTTAACTGAGAGTCTCTAGCACCCCTTTCATTCTGCAGAAAAGGGGCTTATCTGTGCAGGTATGACTTTAAAAAAAATCAGGCTCTGACAAAAAAAAAGAAAAAAAAGAAAACTGCAGAGTAAATGGATGCTTTGGAGTTTAAGGAAGATAAATTTCATCTTAGACTGCTGCTGGAATATCTGGAATGTTACCAGCTGTACACAGGGACTGGAGCTAGTTCTGCACGAGCTCACTTTGAAACTAGAGCAGACTGAGACCGTAATGACCTAGCTGATGTAGAAGTTTCCAGTAGAAGGGATCTTCAGTTTGCCTTTTTTTGTTCTCTTATTCAAGAATAACAGAGCATCCCTAATATTTCTTGCAGCTTCTCCCAGCTTCCATTTCCTGTGCCAGCAATTTTTTTAAGGAAATTATGATGTATTGTGCTCTCTCTGAAGAACTGTGTATCTGTACCAGCAAGCACAGTGCAGAGATCACCAGAGGCAACGTGTGGCTGTGCAGAACACACCAATGTGCTCACAGAGCCAGCTCACTTCTGCAGTTACAAACCTTTTCTTCAGAATGAAAGGGGTGCTAGAGACTCTGTTAACCACCCTGTTTCACCCTGCAGGAAACCCTCTGTAGCTGCAGCATCAAAGTCCGTTTGTTTCTGCAGCTGCTGTCATGCACCAAGTGCTCCTGTGGCTGCTAACAGCTGCCTGAGCATCACCCAAAGCACAGCCAGTGGGGCAGAGACTGATTGACCAGAAAGAGAAAAAACAACCTGACTCACGTTAGTGCCCCAAACTGGTGGTGTTCTGCCTCTGAGGTGCTGGGAATTTGTGTCAGTAAAACCCATTCTCTGGCTACAGCCACTGTTGCCTGAAACTCATGGTGGATGTTGCCTGCTTTAAGCTCATGTCTTCTCCAGAGAAAACTCTCCCAAGGGACTTTTCTTCCCAACGAGGTAACTTTTTAGAGTACACCAGGAACACGGGTGATAAATGAGACCAAACAACTGAGCTATCTGGAAACACCTGGAGGATAACAGCATGTTTTTTTCAGGAACCACTCATGCCAAATTCATTTATGTGCCCTCTTTGACAGCATAAATGGCTGCACGTTCAGAGAAGGCTGCAGGTGTGAGGTATTAACCTTAAGGTTTCTAATTCACCTCACCCTGAGCCGCATAAGCTGACGATGACTCTGTAGCAAAACACATGACTGAGGTTGTCTGAAGTGCATGCATCTAGCAGAAGAAAATATTACAGTTTTCCATAGTGATTTTGTTCAGTGAGTTGCACTCAAATTGGGATGTTTAGAATGGGATCCTGTGGGGATCTATCTGAGATCTGCTAAGAGCCAATATTTTCACTGAAGCCTACAAAGAATGAGCAGCTGTGTGAATTCAGGTGATGCTACGCACAGGTGGGGCTCAGGACCTGGGCTGTGAGAATTCTGAGACATTAAATGAGAATTAAAAACTCTGAGCTTCAAAAAGCCCAGAGACAGTCTGAAATCACTAAACAGTGCTTCTTATGCTCCTCACAGACTGTTTTTGTGGTTTACAGGAAAAAACAGCAGCCAGCAGGCTTTTGGCAAAGTTCCAGTAAGTCAGGAAGTAACCTGGAGTTATTGCAGACAAGCAGCAGGATGAGTCAGTAATACAAGTATTGTAGAAATGGCAAATCCTGTTTCAGCATGTGCAGTTTAGGAAATATGTCAGAAAGGTGAATTGTTTCTCCCTTTGAAGTCTCAGTGATTGGTTCAGCTTGTGGCACATTGCTTTCTGAACAGTGTGGGTAAACTTGGAAGAGCCTCCAGTGAAACAAGAAAAAGAATAACTGGACATCTGGAAAAGGGATCTACTTTGTCTAGAAAAGAGTTTGAATATATGTAAGCCTGTAAAATGGGCTGTTAATAAAGGTCATAGTTCAATAGGCAGGAAAAAAATTGCTTAGTTATAGGATGTGTGGTAATGCAGTGAAACAGGAAATTATTAGCCTTGTTCAAAAAAACACCAAACACCCAGCTAATATATTTGGAGCTGGGCTGTGTATTCTTGATTCATGGTAGCTTAAGAGTGGTAAGGGAAGCTGTATAGCAGATAGGTTGGAGAATATCCCTTCCAGACTAGCAACTCTGTATTTTGCAGTACTATGCTGCTGTGGACCTTGCAGAGAGAAGACTAAAGTAGTGAAGATTAAAATAGTGGCATTGAGAAAAAACCAAGATAAATACAGAAGATGAAGCAAGACATAGTGAGAGACATAGCCTGGGGAGGATTATGGGGATGCTGTGAAAGCTCTAGCATGCTTGCCTGATGGAAAACTAAGCCAACCAGAACAGGTGATAGAGCGAGATCCTCTAAGCTGCCTGGAGCAGGAGTTCAGCCCTTTGCAGAGCTAGAAGTCTGGATGCAGCTTTGCTTTCAGAGTACCCAACTGGGGCATGTCAAGTCCTGAGGTGGCTACTGCCTGGGAACAAGCAATGGTGCAACCTCTACATCCTCCTAGCAGCTATTCCACAGGCAGCTCAGAGGTGATACAGCACAAGCCAATAGGTAGAGTCACAATAAAGTTAGTGCATGGTATGTAATAACAGGGTTTCCACCCTCTTCTGTGTTACAGACACTGGCAAAACTGGCCTGTGGGTTAAACAAGCCCAACCGCCAGACACTGGTGTCTGCGCGATTTGTGCCGCAGCTCTTCAGCCAACTGCCTGTCAGCAGTATGTAAGTACCGGGAAGCTGCCAGCCTTGGGGCAGCCTGGGCCTGCTCCTGGCCACCTCAGCACAGAGCAATTTGATGCTCACTGATAGCAGCCAGCAAAGGCTTTTAACTCCACAGTAATTCCTCTTCAATGCTCGTAAGAAATGGAGAGGGAATCCTGCCAGTAATCAGAGGATCACAGAATCAATTAGGTTGGAAAAGACCTGTGAGATCATCAAGTCCAACCTATGACCTAACACCACTATGGAGACTAGACCATGGCACTAAATGTCATGTCCAGTCTTTCCTTAAACACCTCCAGGGATGGTGACTCCACCACCCTCCTGGGCAGTCCATTCCCAGTCTAATCACCCTTCCTGTGAAGAAATTCTTCCTAACGTCCTCATGACTGTAAGTGACAGTTCAGAAGGAATGTGCTTGGGAGCTGCAGCTCTGCTTGTGAAGGAACCACACTACAAGGCTCCACTACCAGCCTGTTGACAGCCTTTCCCGGGGTAGGGCTGTGCTTAAGATGACTGCTGGAGTGCATAGGTGTAAGCCAGGAGCAACTGTGGGCATGGAGGCGATAACTGTTCCCCAGTGTGAGTGAAAGCTCTGCTGCAAGAGAGCAGATGTGGTTTGGTTTTGAGCATCCACGCTGTGCACAAGTCCTTATCCTGGTGTAGAGAAGCGCTATCAGCACCACTGCTCCAGAGGAATGGATCCCTAATCCTGCTCTCCAGAACTGCACTGCTGTTCTCTGCCTTCAGTGTCTTGCTAGGGATGGAGAGGGGGGTATGTGGGAAGGAGGGAGGGTCTCGTCTGTGTAGGAGGAAGCAGGGCCCATGTGAGGCATTCTTCAGAGCATGGTTTGGAATCACATTTTGAAGATGTTGCTGAGGGAGAAGCAATCGAATTTGGTGTGCCAAGGAGCAGTTTCCTACATCAACCCCTAGGTGTCCTACTATAAGAAGAGCTGTTATGTGCCAAGTGTTCCTTTTTGTCCTGCTAGTTCCTGACTGCTTCTAGCTGTCCTGATCTAGGAACAGCTGAAGCTGTTCAGATTAGCTGAAGCTCACTGAGCAGGAAGAATACTTATCATAGTCTCCACATGATGCTTCACTTGTGGGTTTTTTTCTTTCTTTCTTTCTCTGCTGTAGCCGTAACCTGGGAGGCAAGCTTGGCACTGCTATCACAGACATCCTGGGAGTGGAGTACATTGGGGAGCTGACACGGTTCAGTGAGACAGAGCTCCAGACTCACTTTGGAGACAAAACTGGGTAATGATAAACCACTCAACACAACTTGGCTCTTGGCAGGAACTGAGGCTTTGTTTTGGTCACAGGTGGTTCTGCTGTAATTTGGAAGGCTGGAAGGTAAAACTTCAGTGGTATCTTTGAGAAGCATTGGTCTGGCAGGCCCAGAACAGGTTACTAGTCTCACCTGCTCCCAGGCACCCTCCCCAGGATAATGCTTTGCCTGTCAGTCTGCTCTTCTGACTTCAGTGTCCAAGGATGGCACTAGGCTGTGGAAGGGCTCCCTGACGGCTAGGAAGAGGGCAGGCTTGACAGTCCCATCACAGAAGAAATTACAAGGCTGGACTGGAGCCTGAAACACCACTTCTGGGCCCAGAGCAGTGTTTGGCGTGCCCTGCAGGCTGGTGAACTGTTGCCACTTCAGGAGAAGAGGCAGAGGAGTTGTGCTCTCAGGCAGTTGTGGTGTGAAGGAATCCTGCCTGTTCAGCTGTGGCCGCAGCTGCAAAGTCACAGCTTGTACAGAGCTTAAAGCATGGCTCAGCAGAAAGCTGACTTGCTGCCCAGCAATGCTTGCCTGTGTGTAGCTGCCTACACCTTGTGCTTCCTCGGTGTCTTTCAGGTCCTGGCTCTATGACTTGTGTAGAGGAATTGAAGATGAACCTGTCAAAAACCGGTTCCTGCCCCAGTCTATTGGCTGCAGCAAGAACTTCCCTGGGAGGACAGCCCTGGCCACACAGAAAGAGGTATGAGTAGCCTACACCTAGCACAATGCTTGGTTTTCACACTGCAGAAGATGAGAATACTAAAAACTGAGAACAGTGTGCAAAACAGCTGCTTTTCTGTGCAATTGTGCCCTGAAACTCAGTCTGGGAGCTCAGTAGGAGAAGGTGGTTTGGGCCCTAGAAATCGCTGTTTGACAGCAATGCATTGACAAACTCCTGCACAGAGGTCCAACCATGTAATTTCCATGCGCAAAACTGTGGTCCTGTGCTGTTCAAAAACTATATGCACAGTGCCAGGCTTGGAGGGCTTGGTTGCTAGAAAGAAGGTAAGTAGCCCAAAGAAAGAGGGAGGATGCACTTTATCTGTTAGCTGGGGCAAGGTTCCCACTGAGTTGTAGGAAGATGCAAAGATGAATCCAGGACAGGGAACTGAGATTACTTGGCAGTCTAGAAGTAATGCTGCAGGGTTTGTATGGTATCTACAGTGTCCTTGCCTGCTGTGTTGAATCTTCACATGGACTGGTTTCTTCAGGAGTACTACAGATAGGGGGCCTGTGATAGTCTGTGTCCATTCCAGTCTGAGCCCCCTCCAGCATCCCCTAGTGTGGGGATTGTTGCTCTGGCCTGGTGGCAATGCTGTGAGCAGAGGACCAACCTGTCTGTTACCACTGTTTTATCCAGGTGCAGCACTGGCTCCTGCAGCTGGCTTTGGAGCTGGAATCTAGACTGACCAAGGACAGGAACCAGGTAAGGAGAGCAGGCACAGGGACAGGGAGCCATGCAGTGCATTTGCACCATGAGTGGTTTGCAGGAGACTGAAGGTGGTGTGTGGTAGGGGAGGAGATCTGCTCACTCACAGATGTATTTCCATGTGCTGATGCTCCAAGCAAAGAGGTGTGCATGAGCATGTCCAGGTAGGATAGTTTTGCTCCAGAACACTGCAGGGCTAAGGGTGATCCTTGTCCTATGCTTTAGGATGCAGGGACCTGAAAGTCACTGCACCTTCCTGCTGCTACACTGGCGCTTCCGTGCAAGCCCTTTGCTGACGCAGCTCTGCCAGTGCACTGTGCGAGGAAGTGATACACTCCAATCTGGATGGTAGTGCAGGCCAGGGTGAGAGTAATCCATCAGCTTTGTCCCTGCAGGGGGTCCAAGAAAAGATGCACGGCTGCCTCTGAGGGAAAGCAAGGACTAATTGCTTCCCACCCTGTGTGGCACAGCTGTAGAAGCACTTGCTGTGTGTGTATCTCATCCCCTGGTGGTCAGGCCGGGCAGGACATGCTGTCCCACCGCACTGTTGGGAGGCAGTCACTGATGGCATGGGAGTCTGGGCAGCAGGACAGCCACCTCGGTCGTTCCTGCCCTTTCCTGCAGGAGTTGCTGGAAGCACAGCTCTGCTCTCCCCACAGAACCACCGTGTGGCCAGGCAGCTGATGGTGGTGGTCCGGCAGCAAGGGGACACCCGTGTGTCACGCTTCTGCGCGCTGACCCGCTATGACGCGCAGAAAATGTGCAATGATGCCTTTGCCCTCATCCAAAACTGCAATGCGGCTGGGGCACACCAGGCAGCGTGGTGAGTGTGGGACAGAGTGGGTCACCTTCCTGTCAGGGGTGGTTCTGCTGTGGGAGGTGCAGGGTGAGCCAGAGATCTGGTGGGAAGGAACAAGAGTTATGCTGAGTGGCAGGAAAAGTGATCCCCAGCACCCTCACCATGGAGCACATAGACCTCCTAGCAGCAGGGCAGCTGTGAGAGCCTGGCCTCTTCCTATCCCCACATCTGGTGATACACTCATGACTTGTGTACTTGGAGCTGATGATTGTTACTGGATAGCGGGTGTCCAGCTGGAGTGAGGCTGTCCTGGCCCTGCAGGGCTGGAGAAGCTAGCTAAGCTTTGCTCTCCTACCCTAAGGACAAAGGTGCTTTTTGGGAGGAGGCCATTGGGGAAGGAAGGGGAAATGAAAGTGCACAGCTCCCATATTCAACATTCCTTTCCTTCCTTTGTTCTGCTCTGCAGTGAAGGCAAGAAGGTCTTGTCTGTTAGGCTCTGACAAGGCTGATGCTTCCTTAGGGCCCTCTCATCTTGTCTCACAGCATCTCTGGCCTGTAGGGGACTGAAAGTCCAGGCTGGCAGTTGACTGCCCCTGCACCAGTGCTCTTTCCTGAGAAGAGGGTTTCTGCTCTGCTCAATGCAGCCTGCTCTATGTCTGTTTTGGAGGTAGCAATACTAATATTTTGTCAGAGGAAATGTCTCTCCCATCCCTTGCTAGATACTACAGTTTCTCTGCCTGAACATTTTCTGTTGCTTCAAGTCTTACTCTGAAAGACTTCCTGTTTCCCAGACTGGTGTCTGAGCTGACCTTGGTCTGTCCATCGCAGGTCTCCACCGCTGATATCAGTGTTTCTCTCAGCAAACAAGTTCTCAGAGCCTGCCACCTTCTCTGCAGGCATCGCCAGCTTCCTGACAGGTGATACCCAGCCTGATGGCACTGCCAGCCAAAACACCACGTCTTCTGGGAGGGCCAGGGTCAAGTTCTTTAGAAGCCCAAGCAAAGAGCATAGGCAGAAACCAGCTAATGCTATTGAGTCGTTCTTCCGGAAGGCAGCAGAACAGCGGCTGCCGCAGATGGCAGCAGCAACCAGCTTGCCCACGACTACCTCTGCAGAGTCACCTGTGCCCAGCTCCCCAGAGCACCAAGAGAGAGATGGTGCTGGACTTGCCTCTGTGCAGTGTGACCTGGAGTCCCCTGTGAAGCAGAGTCCTAGCGATAGGAGCACTGCTTCTCCTTACAAGAGGCTTTCCTGTGAGAAGTTGCCATCAGATGCTGTACAAACACCCTCGACTCCACCCAGCTCCAGGACTCTTCTGAAATTACAGGCAGCTATGGAGGGAAATGAGCAGAATTTGCCACCCTCTCCTGAGCTTGCCCTGCTGCCTCCTGCCTCACCAGGGGACCAGCAGCATTGTGAGAAATGTGGCCAGCTCGTGCTGGTGTGGGAGTTCCCAGAGCACATGGACTACCACTTTGCTCTGGAGCTGCAAAGCTCTTTCCTGGAGCCCAGTGCTCCCACAGCTTCAACAGCACCTCCCAGCCCAAAGGCTGCAGGTTCCAGGTCTCCTACCAAGACAAAGAACAAGCCCAAAACTTCAGCAG